TCTCCCAGCCTCCACCCCAACCCCCCCCCCCCCCCCCCCCTTCTGATGAATCACTCCACTGTCTGTCTCTCTGTGACCTGCCTGTCTGTCTGCATGTCTCATTCTGACGTGCTGCCTCCTCTGGCTACCAGATTGAATAACTAATGATTAATATCAACACAGCCTCTGCCACAAGTTGATTTACTGCACTCATTGATCCAGACCTTGAGATGAAAAAAAAAAAAAAAATACACAGATTGAACTGCAGGCAAGGTTTTGTGAGACTAAATTATCTCGGGCTTGACAACCAAAATTCTGTCTGCATTTTTAGTCTATGTCCAGGATTTTATCCACACCTGGTAGCTGCCCAGTGTGAATATACTGTCTCCCTGTTGGCCTGTGAGACGCTTCATTTCAACTGTTTGGGATTAACTGCTCTTCTTCAGGGTGTTTGCAAAGCAGTTGATGAGCAAAGAGCACTTTACTCATGCTTGTTTCTGCCGGATTTCCTAAATCCAAAAAAACAAAAAAAACACAGAGGTACTGTTCTTATGAGATCTGTCAAAACTAGGACAGAGTGTTGAGTTGTGGTAAAAACAAAAAATTGGATTTCCAGCACATGAATTTAAAACAGAACTTTGGCAAGCCAGATTCAGTCTAGCTGCATGATTAGAAAGCAAGCTGCTATGGTAATGAAAAAAAAAAAGATATGCGCCTACAAATATGATGGAAGCTTCATGTTTCTGACCACATCTGATTTTTTGTAAACAAATTATCCCTTTTTTTTCATCTCTGCTGAATTCATTTTCTTCTGCTTTTCTTAATAGTCTCTTGTCTGTTTATTCTGGCTGCCTGTCTTACTCACCAAATCTCCGAGGAAGACAATATTTTACAAAAACCAAATCTCCGACATTTATGAATGCATCCACGTTTCATTTAGTTCAAACTGTCCAACCTCTATGATTCCATCCCGTTCCCACAAAATAAGAAAACACTGATGCAAGTCCTACCTCTAAAATCAGCCGAATAATTTGCCAGAGAAAGGTTCACATAGTTACCAAATTGAAAAGTATTTTCCCTCAGTGCACTGGCTTTATTAGGACATTAGTCTTTACCAGCCCTAAATATAATTCAGAGTTGGCTGTGCTAGGAAAATACTATTAAATAAGCAGACAACAACAGCCAAGTGACAAGTGTGGAAGATGTCTTATGGTACATTCTTGGAAAGTCTTTATTTATTGTATCATTATTTTAGTAGCAGTTGCAGTTGTAGTAGTGATAGTAGTCTGATTTTGGCCACTTGGGGGCAGTCCAACAAGTAGTAAACACATCGTTGAAGTTATCATTAAAATCATTAGAAGTCATAAGACCACCTGGTGAATGTAACTCTGTTCTGATCTTCACAAATACCTGAGGTAGTTTCTGTGTCTTTATCTGCTGAGCGAACCACAACTTTTCACCGGTAGATGCAAAATGTATCAGGCCGATGTGAAGCTGTGTGTGTGGAGCTCTTTTTCTTTCTGAAAGCAGCTTCTTGCTGCATACGGAACTGAGGTTAAATAGAGCGGTGAGAGTGATCCAAAACACTGAAATGTATCTCTGGGAACCAAGACATGAACACTCATATATGGTCTCTAGAGGCACTGAGGGTAAGTGCAGGGGTTTTTATTCCTGGGGTTGGTCCTTTTCATATTAAATGGCACCACTTGGTATGTTGTTGGTATATGGAGAAACTATCCCCCAACAACAAATGAAGCAGAAATTCCTAAAAATAATACTTGAACCAAAAAGCTTAAAGGCTTTATATGCGATTTTTTGATCCAGCAGATGTCGCCTTGAGCACCAGCATGAAACCAAAACAACTGGCGCTGCATTGTTGTGTTAGCATGCTAATGCTAGCGATCTTTATTATGCTGGTATCTTCACACTGCATGTAAATTTACCTGAAATGAGCGTGATCTAGAAACACAGTTAAGCAGTGAGTACAGTATGTTATTCTTCTTTTCTCTAGTCCCTCAATTAAACAACTTTTATACACGAGGGGAGGAGTCAGCCGGCCGTCCGGCGATGTAAACAAACTGAAGATAGGACTCTGAAAACTCTGAAAACATCACAGACAGTGGGACTCGGGTGTTACACCCATTGTAGACAGTCATGACTCACAGAGTTATTTTCAGAGGATATTCTTGATATAAAGCCTTTAAAGAGAGCGTGCATTACTCCAGCCGAAATTAGATCATTTCCAACTAATGATGACTTGCAGCATATTTTCCTCTGAAGTTTTCTCACTGCACACTTCACCTCTCGCATGAACATTTCGACAATGAGACGTTAGTCAGGCACTTTTAGTCAGCCACTCAATACCGAGCAATCCGCGTGTTTATTGAACACTTTGTTTGACTTGGACAGTTAATTTCATGAGCATTGTGCTCATAGTGTGTATGCTGCATATAGATCGCTCTGCCTCTCCCCCTCGCTCAGTTACAATTTCTCGCAAGCTCAATAAAACCTTGTTGTGTGTAAGCTTGGTAGGAGGCACAACAGTCTTTCATACATTTGAAAGTTATGCAGAAACTGTTTACACATTTGAAAGTCCCCCGAGATATTCAGACAGACTATCTCTCTCTTTTTCTGAAGTGTCTGAAGGCAGTGCATTTTTTTTTTTTTTTTAATCTCTTTGTTTAACCGTCTGCTGGTTTACTATGAAAAGTGAGAGTCATCTTTATGGTAAACCGAGGGAGAGGTCGGAACAGAGTGTCAAGTTACACAATCAATCGCTGATACGGGAGGATGATTTTTAAAAGCTTTATTATTATTCCACATACACACACACACACACACACACGTCATTTGGCCTCAATTGTAGTAACCGTAAAGAAAACTTGCATACCCACACTCATAGAGACAGAATCCTAAAACGAGAGTCCACAGAGGGACGAGAAAGTGCCTGAAAGGAGTTGAAATGACATTACAAAGACAACCCAATTAGATTATGAAAGATATTCTTAACTAAGTCTGAAAGTCAATGATCTGTAATGGGAGTCCTGTGGCTTATAAAAGCCTTTCTCTGGAATGATTTGCCTCTCTCTCTCTCTCTCTCTCTCTCTCTCTAATTCTCCTCCTTTCACTTAACCCCGTTGCCTCCTCGTTCTCTCAGACATACATGTGATACATACAGGCACATACAGCTGCAGACACCGAGGCATCCAGTTGCACTTAGATCTCGGGATGCGATCGCCGACTTTGTTTGAATTTCAATGGGCAGCCAGCTGGAGGTTTAGCTTGAAAATGCCATATTCTGACACCAATACAGACTGGATCCGTGAGCACACCCATACATGAGCAGCAGTTCTTGGGTACAAGATGTTCTTGGATCCAAAAATTCAATTCAGATTGCCCCATGCCCTTTACTCCTTTGTTTTGTCATATCATGGCTCTGCAAATGAGTTTTTATATTTAGAATCCTTCTCAATCATATTAACCTTTAAAACTTTCTTTTAAGATATATATTTTTTAGCTTTTAAAAAGGCCTTCTCAATCAGGAAAGAACTTTATTTTCAGAATGGATGTGTACTTTCTTTGTCCGTGTGTGTCTGTCACTAACAAGCCTATCTTAACAGACTGTCATTCTAAAAATGAACAAAATTGTGGACTTCTGTTTCAGAACATTAAACTATTTAAAATAGAATATTAAATGTACTTTTAAGGTTGCTTCAACATATTACTTCATGTGTTGTTTGGTATTTTTTGAAGATGTTGCCACAAGAGGAATTGTAGGCTGAAGTGATTTTTTTTTTTACAAGAAGAGACTTTTATACTGCAAAAAGAACACACACACACACACACACAGACACACACACACACACACACACACACACAGACACACACGCTCACACTTTACAGTAGTGTGAACGTCCCTGACATGCTCTTTGCTTCATTAGAGATATGTATGTTGTAGATGTTTGCGGTGCACTGAGGCATGGTCAAGTCAGCTGTGCAATGTAAATGCGTGTATTGTGTGTGTGTGTGTGTGTGTGTGTGTGTGTGTGTGTGTGTGTGTGTGTGTCTGTGTGTCTGTGTGTGTTTAGTTATCCATCTGTCCATCTTTTTGTTTACGTCCACACTTCCTGTCTTTCTGTCCATCCAGCTGACCTGCAGATGAAAGCAAACTTCTTACCCTTCATCTCCCTTTGATGCCTCGACAGTATCTGTTATCATAGAGCGCTGTTTGTGTGTGTGTGTGTGTATGTGTGTGTGTTTGTGTACTGTAAACATGTGCGTTGTGTCAGCATCTATGCACAAAGTGCGCATGGCGACAGAAAATGCTATCCACGTGTATTTTCTGCTTGCTCCATATATTCTTTAATACGGCATCAAGGAATCAAAACTAATCTCCAGCTTTCCCCCTCACTCTCTCTCCGTTTCTCAATCAACCGTCACACACACACACACATACACACACACACACACACACACACACACACACACACATAAACATACAATCATATTCCCCCAGATATCTGTCACTCCATGTGGTTCAAATCCTGAATGAGGCGCCTGCAGAATACTTCCCTTCAGTGAAAGTATTTGATCTAGAACAGCTACAAGGAGGGGGGGGAGTGGTGTGTGTGTGTGTGTGTGTGTGTGTGTGTGTGTGTGTGTGTGTGTGTGTGTGTGTGTGTGTGTGTGTGTGTGTGTGTGTGTGTGTGTGTGTGTGTGGATGGGGCTGGGGCTGGGGCTTTTAATGTCATGTGTAATGTGTGAGTTCTTGTGAGAGAGAGAGATTAGCAAGATTACCGAGACATGTTTGTAGTCTTTGTGCTGCTGTGGTGCCATCTACTGGTGGGGAAGCACAACAGTCCTGATTTAATCACACAGCAGGCACGAGGAGGAGCCACCTCTGATTTGCAGATTTGCAATTCTAAAAACTCAAAATTATGAAAAAAAAGTGACATTTTAAAATACAAAAGAACTTGAAACTCATAGATTTAAAAAAAAAAAACATTTAATATAGTGACAGACATTATTGAACATTTCAAAATAATTGCTGAAAATTAGGTTTAACACTTTCGGTTAAGATGACACTTTATAATGAATGTATATAATACAGAGGAACATTAAGACATTACTGTACAACCTGTAGAATATAGCAGCTTGCAGCATCTTTCAGCGCTCACACAACCACACACACACTCTCTCTCACTCTCACAGACATAATGCAGTTTTAATAAAAAGCTATCTCAGTCATTCACACTACCAGAGGAGCTGTGTTAATTTGTTTCAATGGCCGTTAAGGAGCCACAATTACAGACAATGTCGCTACAAAAAGAGTCTCTTCTTCTTCTCCCCGACAAAGTTTGAAGTGACAGTCTTTGTGACGCTTATATCCAGAGTGGATTGGAACTGGAGGTCCGCCAAGGTCTGAGTGTGGGGAGAGGATAATTCATTCAGCTCCTGCTCCGACACTAACACACACAGACACACACACACAGACACACACACACACACTTCTGCAGTTGTCTTTTGACATACTGACACTGCTGCAGAGAAAATGCACAAAAACAGATTCACACACATACCCACACTGACACTGAATCAAAACATGAGTTCAAGGAAATATTTGGTTTTTTCAATGTTACATGTCCTGCTTTATTCAAATCCTATAAGGCCTTATTACTAGCTATGCATTCCTTCAAAACTACACAGAATGCAAAGAGTATGTATACTCTAAACAGTCACGTGTTGACTTTAAAATCCTGAAAAGCTGAATGGAATTTGATTTTGGTGTTTCCATACTGCCAAAAACAAAACCTATAGACCAAAAGCTGAAATGCAGATTACAACACTGTACATCATTAATACGCCGAACACGACATCACCGATCTCTTGTCATAGATCTATAAGACCCAAATCAGCTTAAGAGTGTCACAAATACACTCATTAAAATACTATGTACAGTAAGAACCACTTTCATCCAAGCCCCTTTAAGATGCTTGGAGCTGGGTAAAGAGTGCCCCTTAACATTGCCCTACCTCTGGATGGTTTTTCTAAGTGGCCCATTGATGTACTCGACAGAGGGGGAGCTTCTGAACCACAGCACTTTGGTGTTCAAAAAACATTCAAGTAATGCCAGGAATCAAGAGTATTCACATGCACACATACCACTCGGGTGAATCTGCTACCAAAAGGAATTAAAGTAACAAAAAAAATGCCTGGTTTGCTCCGAACTCAACCCAAGATATATATGTCCTTGTTACTGTCACATATAACAGTTTAAAGGGATACTTCACCTGTTGAAACATGAATCTGTATTGACATTGGGTCATATATGTAGAAATGTGAAATACATTTTGGTGTTGGTGCCTTCTTGGCCGAGAAAAGGCAGAAAGTGTCTTTTTGGCTCATGTGGATGAAATACACTAAATCCCAGAATGCACAGCACCGCAGGCCACTCCCACTAAGGTCCTCTATTTCAGAATCAGAATCAGAAATACTTTATTAATCCCAGAGGGATTGGTCTGTCGCTTCAGTTGTCGAAAATATGAGGAACTAGCGTTGTAGTTTCACCCCGCTAACCGCAACAGCTTCCGATGACGCAAAATTACGATTTTTTTGCGTCACTGGAAGCTCCTTTTCAGACTCAGAAATACAGAACTTTCCAGTCTCAGGGGGAAATGAGGACCATTCGATACATGACCATTCAAAAATACTACCAGGTTACTAATGATACAAAGCTTAATGCAAATGGGTGAAGTATCCCTTTAAATGGTCCCTTCTTTTACCATTAGCTGCTTTAGCAATCTATATCCTATGTCTAAGATATGAATGGCATCCACTTTTACTCTTCATTTGACCACATGGTGTGTTCAAGTCTTACTTCACAGTGTTTCCTTCAATCAGATTCATATCAGTCTGTGGGAAATGTAGATATGAACAACATAGAAAAACCATGTGTCCTGAGTGTACTGCTGGGTTTACATAAGGTAGCAGCTCTAGGTTTGTTTAGTCCCCATGGAGAGTGTTTTTGGTCCTTTTTGAAGTCTCTAGATGGTCTCCGGGTTGGGGTAGTATCTGAAGACCTTGTAGATCCACTGCGTGTAGAAGGGCACGTTGATGAAGATGCCAGGCTGGTTGGCGCGGGCGCAGCCTCTGCCGTGGACGCTGACTCCCACAATCACCCTGATGTCGCCGTCCTGACAAACGAGAGGGCCGCCGTAATCCCTCTGCAGAAGAAGAAAACAGATTTTTTTCTTGGTATAGTGGTTGACAAGTGGCTATCATTACTGTTTCGCGTTTAAAGAAAGCATTTTTTTTTTATGCTCTCAAAGACAGCCAGCGCTAACACCATTTGTGAACATGGACAGCTTTTTTTCCAAAGCTATACACCACAAGCACAAGGCTTTGATCGCTGATGAAATGTATTGCAACAGTCTCCAGCTGCTCCATTTTCTACAGACTGACTACTAAGCCTACGGATTCTAAGAACATGTGTCTGTGATGTGAAATCCAACCGAGCTTTTGAGGAGCTGATGCTTCACCCTGAGAACAATTACGTGTTCTAAAGGGTCTAACGTCTCTGTTCTTGTTTACCAACAGAAGACAGAATTCTCCATGTGAATTCTCAGTCTGGAGTGTTTATTCTGAGCACTGTTTTTTTTTAACAGTTATTCGCTTCATGTTTGAATGCTGAAAAAGCCCCTCATTAAGGAAGAGAATTATGAAAGAGTAACAGTTTACCTCACACACTCCCTCGTTCCGTTTGCCTCCTGCACAGATCTTGGTGTTGGTGATGTGAAGGCTCCCTCTGTGCATCTCTCTACACCTTTCGTTGTTGACGATGGGTAGGCTGACCGCCTTTAGTACGTCATCATGGCCAGTGCCTGCAAGTGTTCAAAGATTGCATTTTAATTACCCATGCTTAGGCTGCTACGTTTTTTGGCGCAATCTGATTTCAAGAGCAAAGTGTGGGGAAGGTCTGAATGTTTTTGCAGAAATCATAGCAGATTCAAACGTTTCATTTTGTGTATAGAAAGCCACCCAGCAAGAAGGACTGACCGATGGTTAAAAAAAACAACAGGCCTTAGATTTAGGGTTACAATATACATTTCACATCCACCTTTATAAAATAATTTCATGAAATGATATAGATCAATCCAAGACTGCTGAAGGAGAAATCCAATATAAAAGCAATATATCACAAACCTACAGGGAACGTATGAATACAACATCAGCAGTTATTGTCCAATATAGAATATCATTACCTTTAGTTTCTCCCCAGCCGTACATTTTACACATCGTTCCTTCTGGGATTGAGCACCCAGCCACAGGTAGCTGAATTGTATGAACATTGTCTGCTGGAAGGGCAGGCCTGGACAGAATGAATGAACACAAAAAAACAAAATCAAAAATGCACACAAACATATGACAATGTATCTGCGAGATGACTTTCCCAGGAACTCACTTAGACAGCCTTATGAGGGCTAAGCTGGAGCCCTCAGGACCACATATCACATGAGCTATGCTGACTTCCTGTCTCATGGACCAGTCGGGAGCGCCGTCTCCAATATCTGAGACTCCTAACCACACCCGATACTCGCTGAGGTCTGGAACACTGGACAGGCACAAGGCGAGAGTTAAAACTTAATAAAATAGCTCACTTGCCTTGCACAGATTGATAGGTACATACTGCAGAGAGCTGCTTAGGAGGTTGTGCTTCAATAAAGAGAAAAACATATCAAACTAAAAACATAAATCTTACACTGTATACACTAAGGGTATAACAGAACATAAACTTTCGAGCAAAGGGAATTTAGAGAAGTAAATTACATTAACAGAGAGCGAGCAATGAAGTTACCATGAGGAGAAGCACTGTCTGTCAGTGAGCACCCATTCCTCTCGTATAAGTGAGCCTCCACACCAGTGCATCGACCTAAAGAGAGGGCAAAGTAAAAAAAAAAAATATATACATCAATTACTTATTTAGGGCACTGATAGTTTTAAGGTACCATGAAATAGTCGGGAATTTACATAAATGATATTCACCAAAAACGTTAGATGATGTAGATCTAAGGTAGTAATGCATCAATGTATGGCTGTTTAAGTGTACTGTGTCATGTTAACTGTTCAGATAAGTGATTTTAAAGACGGACAGAATTCTAAAAAACAAGTAAAACAAATTGTATTTGTGACTGTAAGACGCATTTAAAGGCTTTATATGTGATTTTCCACACATGTAATAGAAATCAAGTATCTCCTCTGAAAATAACTCTGTGAGTCATGACTGTCTACAATGGTTTAACACCCGAGTCTCACTGTCTGTGATGTTTTCAGAGTTTTCAGAGTCCTATCTTCACTTTGTTTACATCGCCGGACGGCCGGCTGACTCCTCCCCTCGAGTATAAAAGTTGTTTAATTGAGGGACTAGAGAAAAGAAGAATAACATACTGTACTCACTGCTTAACTGTGTTTCTAGATCACGCTCATTTCAGGTAAATTTACATGCAGTGTGAAGATACCAGCATAATAAAGATCGCTAGCATTAGCATGCTAACACAACAATGCAGCGCAAGTTGTTTTGGTTTCATGCTGGTGCTCAAGGCGACATCTGCTGGATCAAAAAATCACATATAAAGCTTTTAAATGTGTCCTAATAAAAAGCCAAGGTGGGTTCTATATCTCTATGATGCTATGTATGACCATAGAATGTACAAAACATGGACACAGTCTCAGCCACATCACCCATTGTTTACTGAAGAGGCCTCCTGAAGCTGAACGGCTGCTATCACCTTATTGGAAATGCTATCTCCACCTAACTCTCCATCAATCTAGAAACAGGCAAAGATGTGGAGTTGAGCAGATCTTAAGCCTCCTGGCAAATGGCTACAATGTGCCTACCTGTCATTCGCCGTAGCAATACTCCATGTTATGCAAATGCAGCCTTCTTAAAATCAAAACGGATGCATCATGGAAGAGTTTTAAAAACTTCCCCCGTACAGTTATTACAAACTGAGAAATGAGCTAGAGAACAAACCACAAATTGCATTTTAATATGGGACCTGATGGGGATTCCTTGGCTTATGTAGCCGGCCTCAAGTGGACACTCAAGGCACTGCAGGTTTTACTCTTCAACATTGGCTTAATTTTTTCAACACCAGAGGATGCAGCGTGCATATGGACAATAAATATTTTCCATCGAGGCTGCAACTTTATGTAAAATCATAGAAAAATACACCACATTTGCACATTTTAGGCCATGGAGCATTGTAGGATTCCCTCTGAAGGGGCATTTAAACCCTTCACAAGAAAAAAAAAAGGGGGAAAACAAATTCCCCTGAAATTTCTAAAGAATTCAAGTCAGTATGCTCTACTGTTCTCCTTCAGTGGAGGAGGAAAAAAAATGTCCCAAATATGAAATGCATCACCATACCCTTTCTGTATGCTGACCATCCAACTGCCGTCAGATATGCCCACTGGAGCTCCTCCAACTATCCTGGTTCTTTTATGGACAAAGCACCCCACAGAGGGCAGCTCACCTGTAGAGAAGGCTACAGAAAAAACAAACACACACACATACATATATATTAAATAACATATTCCACTGTGAAGTTCACAGCAGTATGTAACAGGACATGCATTTACATTCACAGGCAGATATATAATTTAATGGTGAGTTATTGTTTACACGGATAAAACACAAGAGGCACTTGAGCTGCCTAATGATCCCATATAACAACCATCGCAGTATACAAAACATAACCCATACACTAATGAGGCTATTCATTAAGGTGGTAAGTGAGGCTGTTTATGTATCACATGGGTGTAATTTAAACTCCTTATGTAAAGTGATGAAGGGCTATATCTTATGTACTTGAGTTATTATGTGGAAAGAAAAATGCACACACACTGCACACACACTTGTTCTGTTTATACACACAAATGCACAAAAACAGATGCCCCTTTGACAATTTTTTTTTTTTTTGTACATTTTTCATTTTTTATTTAAATTGTACTGTGTTCACTTTTTGTTTGCAATCTTTGCTCTTTGCTGCTGTAACAATGTAAATTTCCACGTTGTGGGATAAATAAAGGATTATCTTATCTTATCTTAAAATAATGTACCGCATCATGTGGCATAAGAGAGCAAATAATAATTAATAAAAACATTAAAACAATCACAGGCTTTCAAATACAGATCAGAAACTGAGCCCCGCACAAATACAAACAGACGGAGCAGCTGATACTCACCCAGTGGAATGGTGTTCTGAGAAGAGTCACCTGCAAAGGCGAGAAGAGAGAAACACATGATTAGGCATTATTTACATTTTCAGGTAAAGAGGCAACCTCACATTGCCGTGTAAAAGTTCAAAAGCAAAACCAATTATTTAAATATAATCTTTCCTATTTAAAGTCTTTATATGTGATTTTTCACACTTAAATATAATAGAAATCAAGTTTATCCTCTGAAAATAACTCTGTGAGTCATGACTGTCTACAATGGGTGTAACACCCGAGTCCCACTGTCTGTGATGTTTTCAGAGTTTTCAGAGTCCTATCTTCACTTTGTTTACATCGCCCGGACGGCCGGCTGACTCCTCCCCTCGAGTATAAAAGTTGTTTAATTGAGGGACTAGAGAAAAGAAGAATAACATACTGTACTCACTGCTTAACTGTGTTTCTAGATCACGCTCATTTCAGGTAAATTTACATGCAGTGTGAAGATACGAGAATAATAAAGATCGCTAGCATTAGCATGCTAACACAACAATGCAGCGCAAGTTTTTTTTCAAGGGCGACATCTGCTGGATCAAAAAAATATAAAGCATATAAAGCCTTTAACTGGTTAAGGCTAACATTTTCATTTAGTTTCATACAATTTAAAGATCAATTACTTTACTCATATAACCTGGATTTGTTGTGTAATCCTTTAAGTTTAATTCCCAGTTACAGTACATCACTCTCGCATGTTAATGTACTTTACATTGACTTACCGCAGAATAAATGGGCTAGATGCTTAGAAAATAAATAACCTTAACAGCTGTTGATCACAAAAGCTTTGAGTGCAAAACCAGACTTGTGATGGTAAGTATGGGAAATGTTTATTTCAGACATGCAGAACTAATGTCAGGTCTTTATTAGCTGGTACAAATCTGGTTTAAATATACAATTTTATTGGCCAGACTTACTTTAGACACCAACGTCAGAGAAACACAACGCCACTAACACAGAGTAATGATCAAAAACAGGCAAACACACACGCACACGCACACGCACGCAACACACACACACACACACACACACACACACACACACACACACACACACACACACACACACACACACAGAGCCACATGTGGGAATGGTTAGAAAGAGCTCTTCCCTGTCTTCCGGATGAGTTGTGAATCTCCTTTAAGACATACAGTGACCTGTCAGTGTAGACATATCTACACAGTGGAAATAAAATCTGTGTGTGTGTGTGTGTGTGTGTGTGTGTGTGTGTGTGTGTGTGTGTGTGTGTGTGTGTGTGTGTGTGTGTGTGTGTGTGTGTGTGTGTGTGTGTGTGTGTGTGTGTGTGTGTGTGTGTGTGTGTGTGTGTGGACGCACCACAATATAGTGTGCAAACAAATCCACAAGCTCTGCCCGAATAGAAAAATCCTGAGCAATTTTCGATTTCTCAAAGTCACCTGGATTTTTTTTTACTAGCTGTGTTTCTATTTCTGATTGTGTTTATTGTTGAAGCTATTGCATGCACTCACATGGTTTGACATTGCAGTAGTCCCAGGGAATGGCAGAATTGTTGGAGTAGCACCAGGGACCATGTTTGTCCTTATCAGGGTTTCTGCAGTAGTTTCCCTCCAGCCCGGCCATCAGCATTCCCCTCTCGCCACTGAACAAACACACAAACACACACAAAAAAAAAGATCTAACGACTCATTCTCTCTCGTCAAACGCTCAACGTGCTAGAGATTCATTTTAAACATAATGTGACTTTTTTTGATTTGCTTTTTGCGTATCCCTCTTTGAGAAAAGAACTTGGCATCTGATGAAAGCGAAAAAGTATAACTATTAAGCCGAACTAAATTAGTCAGATACGATCTAGACAATCAAAACTGCACAGCTGTGTAGGCTCTGTCTCTGTGGACAAGATAAGAAGGTGATCTGCAGAGAAATTACTCACCGAGACAGAATGCACCCACCTACACTCAAATGTATTATATGTGCTCATGCAGAAATATCCCACACGTGAGAATTGTAAAACTGCACACAGAGCTCGTTCCCACACTGAATTCAAAGGGTTTATATGGTATGGGATAAAACGGGAAACAGTAGAGGGAAGCTGGGTACCAAAACCATAAGTGATCCTTAGTTTTTCAAATCTATGTTTGGATAATGTATGTATTATTTCTAGCAGCTAGCAAAACAGTCAGCCCTCAGTGTGACTCACTAACCCTGACCTTTGACCCCTGGAGCAGGAGCCAAGCAGTGCAGCTGATTGGCTTTGAAGTGTTCCCTACAAAGGAGGAGTTTGGGGTCATAGGTGGGGAGTGAAGTGTATATCCCCCAGCCAAGTTATCACTGGGAGTCATTCCAGCTGCGTTAGGTCATCAGGTCTCCAGCCATTAGGAGATGCTAGAGATGCTAGTCACGGCACCGTATAGGAGCCGTTTTCCCCTCTGAGAAACCTGAGAGACCTGACTTGATCAGCTGACAGCACTGAAACGGCATCTTCCTCCTAATGAAACGTGTGAAATGTGCATCTCTTCTGCTCATTATCAGTGGGTTTCTTTTGATCGCATTCAGCTTTTCATACCTCACTTAGACTCTCTCTGATGAGTTATGTGCGGTTGGGTTGTTTGACATCTTGAGCTTGTCTAACAGTTTAATGATGAGACAAGTCTGTTTTCTGCATCATCTGGAGTTTGGGAAAGTTATTATAGGTCAGAAAGAAAAAAGAGATCTAGTAGGCCGACCTGGTGCTGTGGTCTCTCCAGGGAGCACAGGGCAGGTTTGATCTAGTCCTTGACAGCTCTCCTTGGTAATTCTCTCCAAAGCCTTCATAGCAGTCTGTATTTGGACAAGAAGGGGACACAAGATGAGACGGATATTCTTCCTACTTCATGTCTGTACAAAGAAAATGCTTTTTCCCTTTTTCTTTTTTTTTTTTAAATTAAACACAATAGGCTGTGCTAAATATTATATAGCCTCTGTAGCCATCACAACAATAGTTTGTGCAGTCTTTGCCATGAAGTATCGCTGTAGAAAAAGAACAAAGAAAACAACCCGAGGTGTAGTCAATCACACAAAGAAAAACTTCTCGCTATTGTGGTTGCAGCTTGAATTGGCAGAACTCAGAAGCTCTCCTTTGAAAAACACATAAATAAGATTTTTAAACTATCCGTCACCCTGCATCTAATTTTATATGTGGGAATGTATTCAAACCCCAAAAAGGGTAGACCACAACACGACCACCGTGAGGTTTTATAATCCCAGTGCAACTCCAAGTAATCTCAAAGACATATCCCCCAGAAGATCTCTTGGGGGATTTTGCATTTGTGCACTCAGCCATTGATCTACATCTTTGCCTTAAAAAATCTCATGCTACCCAAGCAAGAATCCCATCCAGCACTAATCCCTCCACTCCATCTTCCCCTGTCCAGTAAACCCTGACAGTCTGTGACGTTGAGTGGCTGTCAGAGTTGGTTAGTGTGAGACATGGTGGTCAGTTCCCACAGTCTTATAGGACTACAGATCTCCGCAGGGATACAACACTGGGGTTACAAGCCAATATGAGCGGCTACAGGGTCTCATGTGAACTCTACAAATATGAAAATGCTGAATATTTCTCTGCTTCAGAAGACGAGAAAATCCGCTTTTCCCTCTTGCTGTTTTGATTGTTAAATAAAGCCATAAGTTTCTCACCACTGACAGGCTTGTTTTGGGTGCCGCACTGAACGATGTTGGTGCAGGACATCGTGCGGACTCTTGGGTCCGTCGTGAAGCACCAGGGGAGTTCTTGGCCATCTGGATTGCGGCAGTAGTTTTCTCTCAGGTCTCTGGAAAAAAAACAGGGAATGTCATCCAGTAATCTGTGCAGAGATAAACGCATGCATGTTGACAAGCTGAGTGTATGGCTGTTTTTAAAGCAATAGTGAGACTCACTTGCAAGGGTAGGCTTCAGGTATGAATGTGTGGTTATGGGGGTACTGGGAGTCCCAGTGTTGGCAGGTCAGGCCGGTGGGCAATATGTCCATTGTCCCCCTATAACTTTCTCCTCTGCCCTGGTAACATTGCGTGGTTTCAACCAGATTGCTTTTGGGAGATGTTTCTGTGAAAGAGCAAAAGAAAATGAAAAATCAATAAAATGCTGAAGAACCCCTCAGCAGGTAACAACCAGATACTGTAAATATTAATGGACGAAGCTTGGGTGACGTAAGCCATCTGTTGCGGCAGGGGGGCTCCATAGGCTCATCGGCAGCCTAACTTTTAGTCAATCTAACGACAGGCTGAGAGCTGGAGCTGAGGCGGGTTTTTAAGTCTGTTGATGAACCGTATCATTTCGCCCACCTGTCAATCATGTCAGCTATGCGCCTTACTATGGATAACATGTATTGTTCATGAAATCTAAATGGAGTCATTTAAAAAAAAAAAAAATCACCGCCCTCACAGTGTGTACCTGTGATGTCAATAACTAATCAGACCTATTTCCTTTTTCTTGTACCAGGCTATACATGTTAATTTATGCTGTAAAAACATTTTTTTTTGGCTGTGGTGTTTATGTGACTTCCAGGATTCCTGGAGCCAGCCTCAAGCGGACACTTGACGACCTGCAGGATTTTGCACTTCTGCATTGGCTTCATTTTTAAAAACCGGAGGTTGCTGCTTGTTACAACCCTATAGGATTAGGTTTAATATCGACACATTTTTTTTAACTTTCAAAATAACTGAACACCTACTATATTTGGACAGAAAAACCTGAGACTCACATAACCTCCAAGTCTGGATGCAATTGATGGAGATATGTGGGAAACTATAATTAAGAAAAATGATGATCTGCAGAGAGGATTGGAAACGAGTAAACTTGGTAAGAGTTTAGGTAAGCTGGCTGCACTTAAACATTGATCAACCACATCACAATGCATGTTTTTTCCATTCCCCCTGCCCTTCTATTATTGCTTCCCACTCAAAAAACATAATGCTGAGGTCTCCATCCTAGTCGTAAAAATCACACATAGCAGGATTTTATCTCCCGGCTGTTAACACCCAATGTTCCAAACTGTAATTGACAATTTGCACGGATAAGGAGTGGTGCCCAGAATGAATTGGCCTGAAAATACCACTGTGTCTGGACTCGCAGGTCTTTAATGTGTTTACGTTTGAGCTGCAAATACTTCCCTTATTTCCCTATCTGGTTTATATCAGGGGTTTTGTAGCACATACAGTATAAAGATAATTATAAACAGTTGGAGATATTCACAGAGGAGACAGATTTAATGTCTTTACCACCTGCCTTCCACAAAACGGCCCGCTCATTGGGTTTGACTGACAGGATAGTAAGGCTGATCTGGCCAAAATTAGAAGTCTAGGCAGTGAATTTTTTTTTATCAGCTCTACTTTTTTTCAATAGAAGGGCTGTTAATTAAATTGGTGTAGTTCATTGGCCTGAACCTTTGTGTTAGACTGCAAATGATCAACACTCAAAACCCGACATTTTCAACCAGTGCGTCTAAAAATAGATACGCACTAGTTGTGACGGTAAACAAAAGAGCAGGCTTTGACAAAAGAACACTTTGTCTCTCTCCGTCTCCAGCTCTCCCCTCCCTGCCTTTTTTTTTTTTT